AGGGGGCACCAAATGGGACTGGGAGGTCCAAAAGGGGCTGAAGGAGCTCCAGATGGGGCTGGCGGGCACCCAGAGATGTCACAACCAGCACTGAGCCCATGAGACCACCCAGAGCCACCACAGCCCAGAACCTTTGAGATCTGAGCTGGGGGACTCCCAAATGGGGCTGAAGGTCACCCAGAGACAGCACAGCCCAGAGTTCTGAGCTAAGGGGCCCCAAAACAGGACTGGGGAGGTCCCAAAATAGGGCTGAGGAGCTCCAAAGGGGGCTGGTGGGGCACCCAGAGCTACCATAGCTAGTACTGGGACCACGAGACCACCCAGAGTCACCGCAGACCACTCTGGGTCATGGGACTCCAGAAACAGGACTGTGGGACCCCCAGAGTCATCACAGCTCACACCAGAAAACCACCCAGAGCACCACAGCCTGGCACCTTGGGGTTCTGAGCTGAGGGGTCCCAAACAGGGCAGGGGGGCCACCCAGAGCCACCACAGTCCACAACAGGACCAGACCACTCAGAGCCATTACAGCCAACACTGGGACTAGGAGACCATCCAGAGCCACCACCAGTCTGGCACCTTTGGATTCTGAGCTGGGGGGGCCCAAAAATGGGACTGGAAGACCCCCAGAGCCACCACAGCCCACACCAGGACCATGAGACCACCTAGAGCCACCACAGCCTGGCACTTTCAGCTTCTGAGCCATGGGATCCCAAAACCAGGGCTGGGAGACCCCTAGAGCCACCCCAGCCTGGCACAGAATCAGCAGAGGACGCAGCAAGGGAGCCTGGCCTTGGCTGTGGGACATCGTGGGGACCGGGGGATGTTGGGGGGACATCCTGGGCACAGGGGACATGGTGTCAGTGCAGTAAACACATCCCACCCTCTGGTGTCCCTGTGTCCTGTGGCCTCAGGGGGACTCCCTTGTACCCACTGCTCAGCCCAGGCCCACGGAGTCCCCTCCCATCCCTGGGGAAAATGGGCAGGGGGTGGCACAGAGGGTGGTGACAGGGAGCCCAGTTCCCTCCCAGTTCCCTCCCAGTTCCCGTGAGGAATAAGAGCCGGGACAGCGGAGCCAGCACTGGGTTTACTGGGG